ACACCAATATATATATATGTATACCTTTCTAAGAAAAAAAGGAACGTAGAATTCTTAGAGAATAAGTTACATGCTTATAATCAGAAAGTTTTTTTCCTTCTTTTTTGGGGGCAAAGCTACACAACAGCCTCTATCCACTGCAGTTAAGAGAACTACAATCTTATTTAGCATTGTAAATTCAAAAAAAATTACTGCTAACCCAGAAAAATCATAAATTTTCCTTTACATTCACATCCCCACGGCTAAATTGAAAATTGCCACCATGATAAACATAATAATGTTACTAAGTTATCTTTGGAGGCCCATACTGTTAAGGAAACTGAAACCAAAGTAACAGAGAATTAAAAACAAAATTATCAAATTTTATATACATAAGTGTGCCTAAGCATTAGTAAAATAATTTAACTTAAATTTTATAATTCTGTGTTATTCTTAAGCACAGTATGCACTTACAAATATGTGCGTGTTCATTTAGGAATCTTTATTTTTAATTTTTGTTTATATTAAGAGATTCTAGTAATTAATAACTTATGTCACATCACATTATTACTAGTAGGAAGCTCTTTTTCTGATATTCCATGAAAATGTCCAAAATTAAATGATCTGTCTTGTTCTCTGTTTACAGACATATCACTGGAAACCGTAAAACCTGATGCAGAAAAGTAATATTACAGAAAGTTTTGAATTTTTTGTGAGTCATTTGTTAAGTACATGTATTCATCTAGATACAATGTTTAGTGAAAACTGTTCATGTTCTCTAAAAATATATATAATTTATGGGTGTTATTTGGTTATATTCTACATTTACTTGGTGTTACTGTTCATAGGATATGTTTGTCAACGTCATGATGTTTTGCCGAGTGGATGTTGTAACGTAAATGCTCATACTACCAAGCAATATTGCTGTGATACCTGTCAAGAAAATGGCTGCTGTAGCATCTATGAGTACTGCATATCATGCTGTCTTCAACCAGATAAGGTACCTTACATAATTTTTCCTTTTACTGCTGTGCTGTACATCACATATAATTCAATTTCTTGTAAAGGTTTTTTTTTTATCTTGGTTTGAATTATATAGCATGCTGTAATGTCTAGTTGGTAAGCATGAGATATGGTGTAATCGAAAACAGCTTTGTGATTGGATAAACGAGTATCTTGCTGTTGTGTGCCGAAACTAGAATGGTTTTTGACAAAGCTTAGTTTTCTTTACAACATTTTGAGGTGTCTTACCAAATTTGTCTTATGGAAATGAGTTTAACCAATGTTTTTTTTATTATTGATAACTTAAAAGGTATAAGTATTTAGCTTGTGGGCTCTTCAATTTCCATTTCATTTATTCCTTTTTCCACTTATTCAAGTCTATAAGGTTAAATATCTAACAATATACGAGTTTAATTGAATAACACTGGAGTTTCCTTTTGACAGCTTCTGCCTTAGTTTTGAAGTGGACAACTCAGGCTTAATAATGACCTAATACAACAGATGATCAATGTATATCCACACAATCATACTGGTGTCGCCATTCACTTGAGATTAGCAGCAGATTCACGTTACAAACAAAATCTTTGACACAGAAACCTCAATAGCTGAAATGTTTTTCCTCTAAAACTATGGCAGAAACTTTCCATGGAAATTCCAATCCTTCTACTTATACGCTGTGTAGTATTTCAATGAAACAAGTATCTTTAATATTACTTCTGTGTACAGCTTTATTTTTTGTTTAAATATATAAATGCATAAAGTAACATCCATTTTTTTCCCAATATCAGAAAGTACTACTCCAGAAAATTTTGGGTAAAGCATCAGAAAAATTTAATGTGTTACTTGCATCTATCACTGACCAGTTTGAACTTTGCTTGACAAAGTGTAGAACATCATCGCAGGTATGAATAAGTTCTCTTCTGGTAATATATTGCTTTAAATTTATAAATTTTGAATTCTCTGTTAACTCTTTCATGTTAATTTAGAACCAGAATTTGATGAAAATTATTAAAAATAGAATAAAAAGACACTTTTGATTATGAATAGATTCTTGAATGAACTTAAGTTTGACTGTTTTTCTCTATGAGTAGAAACACTAGTGGAATATGTGGTGCATGAAATGATATGGAAAGAATGTAAATAAAAAGGTAGGGTGGTGAGTTTAGAAAATGAACCATAACAAAATATATGTGCTTGAAATTTGTGAGGTGATGACTGGAAGTATCTTAGAAAGTATTCATATACAATGGAAACCTATATTACCCAACAATGTGCAGGAAAACCTACTTTCTAATATCATGTGATTATGTTAGACAATTTAAAAAATAATCTATGAAAGACTTTAGAAACAAAATGAAAATTGCATACACATAATCGTTAGTATGTAAACTGTTTCAGGTACATTTATAATATGCATGAACTTGTAATCTTGTGTCAGCAGTTTAAAATGTGATCTTCAATGTACTGCAGCTGAAAGAAACTTGTTATGCTATTCAGAATGAGTCAATACTTTGAAATATCTTTTAACCATTGTTTAATAAAACTGTTGTAGTAGTGACGTGTTGTGAAGAACAGAAGTACATGTTTCCTATAAGAGCTGAATACAGGTCATGACCTTAACATACATAAGTGCACTTTTATTGTTCATAAGGGCCTTGCATGGTCAGGTAGCTAGAGTGCTTAGATCATCATCTATTGGGTGTGCAATTTTGAATTCCATCACCGAACATGCTTGCCCTTTCAGCCGTGGGGGCATTATAATGTGACAGTCAATCCCATTTTTTATTGGTAAAAGAGCAGCCCAAAAGTTGGTGGTAGGTGTTGTTGAATATATGCCTTCCCTCTAGTCTATCACTTCAAAATTAGGGACAGCTGGTGCAAACAGCACTTGTGTAGCTTTGCACAAAATTTTTAAAAAGAAGTATTATTCATAGTTGAACCTGATATTACTATGTATATAGTTATTTTTGTTTCTTTTTCAGTGCACACAGGTTGCAATGTTATTCATATGTGTACCTAGCACATACTAATTTGGAATATCTCCATTTGTTTTTGTATCTAACCTGTCAAAGATTATCAACTGTCAGCAAATTTAATGGTTCATTAAGACAGAAAAAGTTTTTTATGCTTAAATATTTTTCTACAAAAGCAATGCACGGTCTAAGTATTATCGCTCGTAGAATATTTGACAGAGCTATTTACCACTTGGAAATTATTTTTCTTAGTCAGAAGAGACTTTTTTGAAGACAAAGTGTAAGTATACTAGCCTATAGTACTGACCTCTATGGATTTCTTGAAATGTGAAAGAACTTATCAAGTCTACTCTTTAAAATGTAATATGATAAAAACTTTGAAAGATATATTTATCTAAAATAATAGCTCACATCTAAAACCCTGTAATTAAATTTTTTTTTGTATTCCTACCTTTGATTGGTCAAAACATATTGCAAATGGTTAAGTGACATACAAACATGTGTTTCACAATCCTTCCCCCTAAAAAGAAACTCAGTTTGTACTAAGTGTTTCGTCATGCCTAATATTTCAGGTAGCTGTTTTTAACTTTAAACAACATAAGTTTCAAAATATAATTAGTTATTTTTTATCATGACTCTCTTTTATGTTAAAGTATTTTTAACAAATATGAAATACTTGAATGGAATTCAGATGGATGTAAGTTAATGTATTATTTTCAGTATATGAGTTTAGTATTATCTTTTGTTGTTGAGCCCAAATATTTTAGCTGCATATGTGAATTTTGTGACCTCACTTAGTATAAGTGAATCGAAAAACATACCTACTAGTCCCCCAGCAGCACAGCAGTATGTCTGCACACTTACAATGCTAGAAACTGGGTTTCGATACCCGTGATGGGCAGAGCACAGATAGCTCTTTGTGTAGCTTTGTGCTTAATTACAAACAAACAAACACACCTACTAAAATTTATCCTATCAGTTAAGTTCTGTAGATTAATACCAATAATGGTCGTAATGACACAAAACAAATAATTATTGGAAGTGAAAGTGATTTAAATTATTTAAAAAAACAACAACTTAAATTTGAAGTTCAGCTGAATTTACAAAGTGCACATAATTGTATTAATAAGTAGTTGAGTATTTTAGTTTCAGGTGCTGTGTATCATTTCTTATTTGTATTCAAAATCTTACTATAATGGACATAGAGTGTGTATACGTATGTATCTATGTATGTGACCAAAATGATATAATGTGGCGCCATCTGTTGAATGGCATCACAAACAAAAATCCTTAAAAAATGTCATACTGTGGATATTCAAGATTCAGACAATTAGAAAAATAACTATGGTATGTGCAACAACCATTTTTTTTATCATGTAACATAATTTTAAATCAAAGTACTCTCTTCACAGCAAGAACGTTACTTTCACAAGGACTATACATGAGGGTTTGATTATATATTTATTGATGTAATCTGTAAATATAGAACTAAAAATGCAGTTTAAAAAATTTTTTTTTAATAAAGGGTACCACTTTTAATATATAAAAATATTGCAGTTTATATCAGCACAATCCAAACACTTTTCCTTTGCATTACTTCACAGAAAAATCCTTTTTTAAAAAATGTTCACTTTTTCTAAATTTCTTCAATAAGGTATGAATACTGAGATTAGTAATTACTAGTACAAACAGCCAACCTATGGGCAGCATTTATACTAGTACTTGTAAATGCTAAAAGTCTCAAGTAGTGAGCAATCTGATGTTTTTTGAATATATTGAAATAAATCATCATACAAAACATCGCTGTATAGTCTTAGTAGTAATCTCTCTTGTGTTATGAATAATTCTGTTTTAATTTGGAACCACATATATACTGAAATAAATCATCTTACAAAAATTCAAGTAAACTTTAACCATATAATCATGGCACTTAATCTCTGAATAGAAAATGGTTATTGAACAATCATGTTACGTGGTAGATTCATTTTTTCTCAAGGGCTGAGACAAAGTACTGCAGCAATTTACTGCAAATCAAAGTAGTATATGTATAAATAGTGTATTTTATTTTATAGACGTACAGGTTGAATCTTAATCTGTAAAGCGTATTGGTCTGCAGTTCACCAGTATAAAGAGTAACAGTGTCATCTGTTGATTAAAACTAGGAATATAATCTGTTAACAATTCTACATAAATTCATTTTAGCTTTATGTAATTTGTTTTAAAGAATTATTAGTATTATGAAGTGAATGAACTAATAAATATATTTTGAATATAAGAACAAGATGTACCAAGATTCAAAAGGTTTGATGATACATAAGAGATAGAAGTATTATTAGAAAGTTGATTTTACTGTACATTTATAATAGACTTTAATGAGGGAAATTCTGTATAGTATTTACAAAGGAAGTAAGTGATACA